TTAAATAGTTTAATTTGACGCTTTATTGGACTTTTTAATGTCAAGAAAAAACTAATTGCAGTAAAATTATATTTATTTATTATGTTAATAATTATAACTATTTTTAGCAGTCACATATCTTAATGACTAAAGATAGAAATTTTTTTTTTAAAAAACTAGTTTTGAAGTTATTAAAATTAAACATTTTTGTTTATTTTTCTAGGGTCTCGAAAAATAACAATTTTTACATCTTTATTTATTAATTTTTTACAGAACTAAAAGCAAATATTCCCTTTTCTCAGAATTTTTTTTATTAAGAGGCTCAATGGTTATATTTATATGGACTAATATCAAGAGAATTACTTGATTTTTTGTTATGTAAGTTTTAAAATAAAAAGTTATGCTTCATTTAATTAACATGTAGTATGCAGCAAAGAAAAATCTGGAGTTTTATTATTTCTTTCATTTTGAATTAAAAAATTTTTTTTCTTTTCCCAATTTAACCATTTAGACATTTAGTTCATCATATAAACAATTTTAAAAATAAGACTTTAGTGCTTAATTTTTCAGAAGATTTTATACGAAATATATATATCGCAACTTAAAAAAATCTTCATTATTTAAATTTTTTTTTTTTTTACTTATGTGAAAATGAAATATAAATTTTATTTTAATGGATTTCAAGGGGTTACTTGTATATGAATGCCTATTTCTTGAGCAAACTGACGGTTCTGCACGTTAAAAGTCCTATTTCAACCCGTAGTTTTCTTCTCATAGCAAAACCAGTTTTTCTATGTTAATAGATAGGGGAGGAACATTCTTCAATTTTGTCCATTTGCTAAACTAGCCAATTGGTTAAACAAAAAATATAATACTTATAGAATTTGTTGAACAAATTTGTTTATTACATACTACAAATTCCGAAAGTAAGATCTGGTATTTTAAAATTAATACTCCTTTTTATATGCTAGCACTAAATTTTGATAAAAAATCTAGATATTTTCAACATTTGCTATCAGAATAAGATTCCCTAAGGAATCTCATTCTGCATCTTTTCCCATGGGGTATATTTAAGCAAAATTGTCAACTCTACTGGCCAGTTTCTCCTGGTCTACTGCTTTCATAAAAATTCTTTTGGTTTTTGTACATTTTGGGAAATCCCCTAAAAAGAATATCTATTAAAATGGAATTTTTACTCAATTTATTGCTTGCTTAAATAGGGTGACCTGGGGTAATTCCTTATCGAAAAATGCAAACATCTATTTACTGGAAGTTTGAGGCTATATGAGATGCGTCCTATGCCAACTTCTTTTGTTTGAAAATCTAATTAGAATTTAAAAGATTTTAAATTTTTAGTGATCAGGAATTTCCCCTGGTCTTGATCATTTGTGGGGTAATTCCTGATCACTTCTGGGGTAATTGCTGATCACCAGTTTTTATTGTAAAGGGGCTGTTTGAAAATAATTATATAATGGTAATTAACAAGTAAGACATAAAGATAAAAAAATAAACCATAAAGATATGTTTAAGCCGCTAATAAAACAATTTATTTAAAAGCAAGAAGAACGATTAACGCTTTAAATTTTCAAAAATCTTTGCATCGTTCCATACATTTTAGGCAATCAGCCAACTCATTCTCATGTTCTTCTGAAATATAAGAGAGTTCCCACATGGGTTACTTTTGCTGGATTTTTTAACTTCATTAAGGGAAAGTGTAAAGTTAAGTAAGGTATGTCAACAGCTCTGGCAGCAGCTCTCACACTGAAATTTTCATTTTCAATCATTAAAAGAAATT